AGCCTAGTGAAGAGACCGGGCTCCGGAGGAGGCGGTGCACGTGGTGGACAGTGGAGCCGACTGCGAGGGAGAAGGCGCTGGCTCCTGACCTCGTGATCTCGAGCGAGGCGGTAACGGCCAGAGGGGCTCACCTCGCCCAGATCGCACCGTGCCCGGCGCATAGTATAGCTCAATAGGTGTCAGCTACCGAAACTCATCTAAATAGAGCGCAATGTTATCCTCTCGGCACCTAAGAGAAAATGAACCAGGATGTTCACTTTCCCAAGGCAGTTCTGAGAGCGAGCAGCACAGTTTTAATTCGGTCCCACAGCTTGATGGCACTAGAGTTGGTTCTTTTTTTTTTTTAACTGTGATCTTTTAAAATTTTTTCTATATATTTTTAAATTTTTATTTATTGAACTTCAGAGAGGGAGGGGAGAGAGAGAGAGAGAGAGAGAGAGAAAGAAAGAGAGAGAAAGAAAGAAAAAAAGAGAAAGAAACAGAGAAACAGTGATTTGTTGTTCCAGTTCTTTATGCACGCATTGGTTGTTTCTTGTATGTGCCCTGACCGGGGATCGAACCTGCAACCTTGGCATATCAGGACAATACTGCAATCAACTGAGCTACCCGGCCAGGGCCTAGAGTTGGTTCTTTTTAAAAAAATATATTTTTATTGATTTCAGAGAGGAAGGGAGAGAGAGAGAGAGAGAAACATCAGTGATGAGAGAGAATCATCCATCGGCTTCCTCTTGCAGGCCTCCTACTGGGGATCCAGCCCACAACCCGGGCATGTGCCCCCACCAGGCGTGGAACCAGGATCGGGCCCACAGGTTGACGCCTAAGACTGAGCCAGGCCTGCGGGGCTACAGTTGATTTTGGGAGTTTTGTCCCTCATTAGCAAGCTCCACTTTGAGCACCCTCTCCCCCATCTGTAAAATAAGGATAATTTCTACCTAGCAAGGTCCAAACGTCATTTACTGGAGAGGTATCTTGCGTGCTTGTCAGGCCTTGTGCCAGGTAACGGATGCAGCCGTGAGCAGTGCGCACCCGTCACTGCCTTCTGGGTGGAGTGTGCAATGTGGTCACTACTGTGGAAGGTACAGTGAGATAATTGTGTGCAAAAGCTTTGTGAACTGTAGCATTTTAAGTGTAGGAAGTGCAGGAGCAGGAGAAGGTGGGGGAACTAATAAAGCGGGGCTCAACCAGAAAGGGGATGTATAATGGAAAGCTTGAACATATGAGGGTAGTAAGGACTCTAAGATGCAATGACTGGACAGGTATAGGCATACAAATACATTAAGCAAGGTGCTCTCTGCCTGGAACAACAGTTGAGTATTGTAATTGTAAAGTGTCCCCTAATTTGAATGCCCCTCAATGGACTGGTGAAGTTATCAGAGGAGCCATGATAAAGCAAGATTGTTATAGAAGAGACTAATAGGTCATGTAATTATTTTTCAGGAGCAATGAGAATTTATTTTTTAAAAATTTTTATTGATTTCAGAGAGAGGAAGGGAGCGGGAGAGAGAGATAGAAACATCAATTATAAGAGAGAATCATTGGTTGGCTGCCTCCTGAATGCCCCCCACTGGGGATCGAACCCACAACCTGGGCATATGCCTTTGGCGGGAATCGAACCCGGGACCCTTCAGTCTGCAGGCCGACGCTCTATCCACTGAGCCAAACCACCTAGGGCAGCAATGAGAATTTAAACCACTTGACGACAGGCATCTTTTATCATTCAGCTGTGTCTAATACGTAGTAGGTATTCAGTAAATGTTGAGAAATGGAAGGGCCTTGAGCAGATCAGGTTTTGGAGTCTTGCTGTGGAACAAGGGGGTTGAATTTGCTTATGCTAATTTGTATGGTGTGATAGTCTAATTGGGGGGCATACAGTGGTTCCTGACATAAAGCTGAATAATGAAACCCAGTTGATTTATGATTCTCCATTTGATGAGCTAAAGTATTAATAAATTGTGAAGCTTATGTTGACTTTTGTTTTTCCTGGTCAGCAAATCTCTGAGTAATGAAGAAAACTTGAAACTCTTTGGAAAATGCAACAATCCAAATGGTCATGGGCACAATTACAAAGGTGAGAGGAAAACTGATGAAATTTTAGCCCTTTCAATAAGAGTGGAAAAATCTTTAGCAAATAGAATCTTAATGAGTAAAAAAACTTACGGGAAGAGCAGTAGTGCTTTGAGACATGAATGAGAAGTTAAGTGGAAGTTCAGAATGAAAAGAGCTGTTGCCTTGGTGGGATGTGTTTTAGCTTTTACCTTGCAATTAATCGAATGCTATGATAGATGATCCAATGAATGGTTTAAATAAATATTTTTGGCTTTAGTGCACATATTGAGATTTTTTGGGCACATGTTTCATTCTAATTAGGTGTTGCTGAGGCTAATGTTAAAATTAGATTGTATATTTGAATAAGTAATGACTGACAAAAGGGGGATGTTGGTTGGGAATATGCTGTATGGAAGAAAGTAGGTTGAGTTGAAAACTTTGCCAGCAGTGTTCAAGAAAGTAATTCATTTATACCAGAACTAGAGGTCCTGTGCACAAAATTCATGCAGGGGGGGGTGTCCCTCAGCCCGGCCTGCATCCTCTCCAGTCTGGACCCCTTGGGGGATGTCCGACTGTCGGTTTAGGCCCGATCCCTGAGGCAGTCAGACATCCCTCTCACAATCCGGGACTGCTGGCTCCTAACCACTCGCCTGCCTGCCTGCCTGATTGCCCCTAACCACTTTTGCCTGCCAGCCTGATTGCCCCCTAACCACTCCCCTGCTAGCCTGATTGACACCTAACTGCTCCCCTGCTTGCCTGATCGCTCCCAACTGCCCTCCCCTGCCGGCCCGATCACCCCAACTGCCCTCCCCTGCTGGCCTGGTCTCGCCCCCAACTGCCCTCCTCTGCCGGCCTGATCGCCCCCAATTGCCCTCCCCTGCTGGCCTGGTCTCGCCCCCAACTAACCTCCTCTGCCGGCCTGATCTCCTGCCCTCCCCTGCAGGCCTGGTTGCCCCCAGCTGCCCTCCCCTGCAGGCCTAGTTGCCCACAACTGCCCTCCCTGCTGGCCTGTTTGCCCACAACTGCCCTCCCCTGCCGGCCATCTTATGGTGGCCATCTTGTGGTGACGTCGCGCGTGACCCCCACCTAGGCTTTTATTATATAGGATAAGAGAGTTGATTGTTTGAAATATAGCTGATGTCTCAAAAAACAGGTACGTAAGCCATCGAGTATCACAGCATACAGGATGGTGGAGTAAGACCAGGAACGGTATCAGAAGATCAAGATTTCTAGTTTAGTTACTGCCTCTTACTGGTACTTGATCTATGATACCTCTCATTCTTAGTTTGTTCATTTATCATATAATATCACATGGTGTTTGTATGGAGCTGAAAAAAATATAAAAGTTCTTAATTTGTAAAGTATTCTATTATCATGATTTTTCAAGTGCTTCATACAAGCACTTGTTAAATTACAAAGCATTACTGTAAACTGTATACATTCATCTCAGTAAAGGGATAAGAGTTTTAGTCCCCTGCCTCCCCAAAAAGAGTTTTAGTTAGTAGTTTTGCTTGCTTAGAAAGGTACTGCCCAAAAGGTACTGGCAGGTGTGCAGCTGGACTTCTTCCTGTGCATTTCCTACTTTTACAGGTAGCGATTGGGCAGCATCTTGATCCTTTCTTGTGGAGATTTCTAACTAGTGCCATCAGCATCATCAGCAGAATTTATACCCTTCTTGGCTTTGGCTGAGCTCTTCTGCTTAGCTAAAGCTCCTACTAAGCTCTTCTGTCTTGGTTGACTCTTGCTTTGGTTGATAAAACAACCTTAACTAAGAGGACAGATGTTTTTTGGGGAAATATAAATATAGCTTTGTGGGGGCAGAGATCTAATAATTTATGTTGCTAACTTGTGCTTGGATGTTAATCTGTTGAAAGTCATGTTGGTCTTTTGGTATTTTGTTTTCTTTCCCGTAGTTGTGGTGACAGTACATGGAGAGGTATGTGCTGAATATATCTGTGTGGTCCTCTTTCTGCCAATGTGATAGATTCAGTGTGAAAAATTCTGTTCAAATCATTATTGCTTCACTGTTGTCCTTTGTGTCTGGCGAGCTGCTGCCATTCCAGGCCTTTCCTCTCCCAAAGTGTCACCTTTAATGTGCTGTATGTGGGCAGGTAGAAGAGCAATACAATGAAAGGATGCCTGGAGCACTTGGTGTTCCCATGCTGAGGCTGATGATTGTGTTGGGGGTGAAGGCAAATGTGGGCACAATTTCTGCACGTTGTACAGCCTTTAATAATTTACCAGAGGTTTAAATATGAAGAGCATGTTATAGTAATATTCTCCTCTATTTATTCTCTAGATCGATCCTGTTACAGGCATGGTTATGAATTTGACTGACCTCAAAGGGTATATGGAGGTAATGGCATGTTTGGTGCTTATTATGTGCCGTCCCCTAAGTAACTCCCATCAGTTACTTGCTTTTCACTTTCCCAACCAAGTAACTCCAGAGTTCCATGATGGGGTGAGTGGAATTGGGTGTGGGAGTAGGGGAGTAGTTGGAAGAACTGCTTTCATGTTCTTCTAATGGTGTTTGGGTGACTTAATGGAAATTAGTCACCATTGTATTACAGTGATGGAGATAAATGTAGCATGCTCATCTTGTATTCCTTGCTGCCATTCCTGATTTCCTACATTTAACAATTTCTACTGTTCTTTCAAGATACAGATTTCTTTTTGAAGTTTTCTTTTTTTCCTCTGAATTTTCCTTATGCCTTTGATCATATATTTTAACACTACCCTGTTTTAGTCACTCTAGTTTGATTATAAAGTCACTGGGGCAGTTCATCATAAGGGTAACACAAAAGAATGTGTTCAATGAAGGACTTACTGATTGTATCACTTTAGAATTCTTGCATTGTAAGAGACTGTAGATAATATCTAAGTAATTTCTTCATGCCATAGATTGTTTGAGAGATGCTAAACAGTTAACTCTAGGTCATATAGTTACTCCTTTACAAAGTTGGGAGTAGATTTGCTTGTATCCAGCTTAGCTTTTATTATGTCATCATTTCACCGTTTTATTTAGTTCTTTGCTTCAGGTCTGCTCCTTCCTTTTGTTCTAAACTTTGTTTCATAAAAATGCTGTTATTAATAATCATTATTTCTTTCATAATAATTATCATCCATATATTCACGTTTGCCTGCTTTGCATCAGTATTTGGGCTCAGTACTAGGAATGCAAAGATGAATGGGACAGAGCCCTTTCCCACAGAATGCTCATGTTATTTTTTTCTAGGAGGTAAACAATAAGTTCTCACAGGGTGAAAAAGATGAAGGGATTGAGAAGTACAGATTGGTAGTTACAAAATAGTCATGGGGATGTAAAGTGCAGCATAGGAAATATAGTCAATAATATTGTAATAACTATGTATGGTACCAGGTGGGTATTGGAAATATCAGGGGGACACTTTGTAAAGTATATGGTTATTTAACCATTATGCTGTACACCTGAAAATAATACAAAATAATATTGAATGAAAAGTGTAAGCAAAAAAAAAAAGTTTTCAGTAAGTTGGTTGAATAAATGAATAAGAAAGTTAATGAATGAATAAACAGCACTGTGCTCCAAGTGCCTTTGGAAAGCTAGAAAGACAGAGTTCTTACAAACACATAGAGTGACATTTAAGACAGCAGTATGAGAAATACGAGATGCCCCAAGTAAGCATCATGATTAAATACACCTTTGTTTACCACCTTGAAGGACACCACGCACTCCCATCAGTAAAAGTGGCTTGTCATGGCATACAGAGCAAAGCCAGAGAGAGTCCTGTTAAAGACGCTGCAGTGAAAAAGTTGGGACTTGAACTGGAATTGAAGATAAAACAAAGATATTTCTTTTCTTGATATCTATGTAGATATCACTTAATCTATTTTAAAGGTGGTTTGGTTTAGGACTTATTATTTTTATAATTATGATTTTTCTCAAAAAATGATTGCTATTTTTATTATTAATGTATACTTGTTAGACATTATGGAAAATTAGATTGTTTTGATTTTGAACAATATAGCTAAAAGTAAAAACGTAGAAAATGCTTAGCTTTTGTACAATATAGCTAAAAACTTAGAATAAAGCAATTATAATTCTTGACATTGATAAGGGAAACCATGTTAATATATAAGCATTAGGAAGAAATGCATTTATGTTTTATATTTTTTTCTTCTAAGGGCTCAAGATCATTTTTAAATTACTCCTTATAGCAGAAATTTAGAACTCTTAATGTAATATCAGTTTTAGTCTGCCTTATAAAATGTAGTACTCACTGAAACTTTCTCCTAGTGACATTGTGGCATTGTCTTGAAGGTGAGACTCTATGGAGTAGTATTTTTGGTAACTTTTTGGACAGAATGCAAGAATGTTAAACTGAATTCTGGATCACAGTGGCTGTTATGAGAAAACTCCAGTGAATTCTCTACTTATTGGTTTCTTACCTCTTTGCACTCAGTAAGGAGGATAAACAGTCATTATGGAGAGCTTACGTTATTTCACAATTTTAAACTTTCTGAAATGGCTTTGTAAGACACAGATAAAGTATACAATAAAAGTATTGAGTTAGTGGCTGAATGATAAGTTTTAGAGGCAAAGGTGGAACACTTTGGAATCTGAGTCATAAATGGAATTGATATTTTTCCTCTCTTTTGTCTGTAGGAGGCAATCATGAAACCCCTTGATCATAAGAATCTGGATTTAGATGTACCATACTTTGCAGATGTTGTAAGGTGAGTGTGATTATCTTACCTAATCCTATATAATAAAGAGGTAATATGCAAATTGACTGTCATGCCCTCGAACAAGATGGCCACCACAAGATGGTTGGCAGGGGAGGGCAGTTAGGGGCGACCAGGCTGGCAGGGGAGGGCAGTTGGGGGCGACCAGGCCTGCAGGGGAGGGTAGTTAGGGGTGACCAGGCCAGCAGGGGAGGGCAGTTAGGGGGGACCAGGCCGGCAGGGGAGGGCAGTTGGGGCGACCAGGCCTGCAGGGCATGGCAGTTAGGGGCAGCCAGGCCGGCAGGGGAGGGTAGTTAGGGGCGATCAGGCCGGCAGGGGAGGGCAGTTAGGGGGGGACCATGCCTGCAGGGGAGGGAGGGCAGTGGCAACCAGGCTGGCAGGGAAGGAAGGGCAGTTGGGGGGGACCAGGCCTGCAGGGGAGGGCAGTAAGGGGCGACCGGGCCGGCAGGGGAGTGGTTAGGGGCAATCATGCTGGCAGGCAAAAGTGATTAGGGGCAATCAGGCAGGTAGGCAGGTGAACAGTTGGAGATTGGAGAGGGTGCAGGCTGGGCTGAGGAATAACCCTCCTCCCCAGTGCATGAATTTCGTGTACCAGGCCTCTAGTATAGAGAATAAGAAAGAAGAATGTTAACATTTTATTTGATTGCTGTGTGATTTCTAAAGTTTTTGTTTAATGACACCTTTTAAAAATAGAATTTCTGTTCTCTGTAAATATTAAACATGAAATTTTATTTATTTGTCTTTTGATCTTCTCTCCTTTTCTCTACAGCACAACAGAAAATGTAGCTGTGTATATCTGGGATAACCTCCAGAAATTTCTTCCTGTGGGAATTCTTTATAAAGTGAAAGTATATGAAACTGATAATAATATTGTAGTCTATAAAGGAGAATAGCCCTTAGGGGTTAATACTATAGAAATATTCAGTTTCTATCCATATTTGAAAAATATCTTTATCCCCTTGGTCTATTGAGACGCCATCACATAATTACTGTACCTCCACATTGTTCTGGAGTGCCTGATTCATTGTAATCATTGTAAGACTTGTATTAAATTCACATCTGTTTTAAAACCAAATTTGTAATGTACCATGAGTATCATTTAGAGAGCCTGTTTTGTATAGATTAAAAATCACTTCACTGCAATTGTTGCTTTACTTTTTTGATTTTCACCACCCTGGATTCCTTGTGGGCAAAGTCTTTATTCTAAGCAGAGTACCTAGTGATTTTTGTTGATTAAGTCAATGGCATACTGATGGAAACTTAAAATTTATAGAGCCTTAGACATGATGAATACTTGGTAAATATTTTTAGAATTGAATAACATGAAAGTTTTGAGGCTTCAATTCTAGTCCCAGTGCTGTTACTGTTCATTTGTGCCACTTCTGTCTCAGAGCCTCAGAGATGACTGTTTGGACCAGAAGCTGCTTCTGCCTGTTCTCAGAGTTTATATCTTCATGATTTTAAATACCAAATGAGTATATATTAATTTAGAGAAGGAAGAAGATTGTTACGGGATTGTGTGGGGGCCCTGACCAGAGTACACTGGAAGTTAAAGGCCCACTTGTCATACGCATCCGTGCAGGCACTGACACGGCAGCATTGCTATGTTAAAGGCCCCCCTACGCATGTGCCAGGGCAATGACTCAGCAGTAGCACTATACATACTGCACAAGCGCATCCTTATATATCCTGCTTATGTTAAGGTAGCATGGACGTCACTAATTGGCACGAGGCCTCTTTTGTTTGAGCATATATATAAGGTAAAGAACTTCCCAGACAAGAAAAAGCTTAAGGAGTCCATCATCCCCAAATCAGCATTAAATGAAATGTTAAAGGGTCTTCTTTTAAAAGAAGATAAAAGATATGAACAATAAAATATAAATACATAGCTATCAACAATTGAATCTAAATACAAGATAAATAGAAAACAACAAAACAAAACAAGCAGAACAGAAACATTCATAGATACAGAGAACATGTTGATGGTTGCTAGATAGGAGGGTGGTTAGGGAAATGGGAGAAAAGGTGAAGGGGTTAAGAAGTACAAATTAGTTGTTACAGAATAGTCATGGGGATGTAAAGTACAGAATAGGGAATATAGTAAATAATAACTATGGTGTCAGGTGGGTGCAAGATTTGTTGGGATGATCACTTAAGTTATGTAATGTCTAATCACTGGGGCATACACTCATAGTATTGTATGTCAACTGTAATTGAAAATAAAAATGATAAAATGTTATAAATAAATAAATGTAAAGAAAAAAAAAAGGGCTAGTTTTGCCTGTTACTTTTCAGAGTTTTAGTTGCTCCCAGGTAGAGCAACAGATGGGCAGTGGGGTGTCTCGTGGGCGTCTCAAGCTTAACATTTCCAAAGTCAAGTTCTGAATTCTTTAAAATTTATTTTTCCATCAGTCTTCCCTAAAAACGATACTACCATCCATTTATTTTTTTCAAGCCAGAAACCTGGGAATGGTCTTGATTCTTACCTCTTACTTCTGATCTATCAGTTCTGCAGGTCTTACCTTTAAAATATATAATTATCTTTACATTTCCAATGCCACCATCCAGTCCAACCGCCACACTTTCTTGCCTGGGTTACTGACATGGCCTCTTCCCTGGTCTGCTTCACTTTGGTTCTCCTCCACACTCCTGTCACCACCTCTCCTCCCTCTATCATGTTACTCCTAAAAGCTTCCGCTAGCCTGCTGTAATTTAATACGACATTTCTGAATTTTGCTCTTGTCATGCTCCCCTGCCTGGAATGCTGTCCCTATCCCCTGCCCCATTCTTTTCATAAAACCAATTTTTCTTCAGATCTCAGCCTAAATTTCACCCTCTTGATCACCCAGTAGATGTAGACGTATCCTCTGTTATTTTCTATTATAATACCTACATACTCCCCTACCTTGCGGTCTTAAAATGTATGTTTCCTTTGTCTTATTTATTTGCTTATTAGTTTATTGTCCCAACCACAAGGATGTCAACGTCATGAGGGCCAGAGCCCTGTCTGCCTTATTCACTCTGGTTGCCCCAGGACCTAGACCAGTGCTTGCTCCATAGCAGGTGCTGAATAATTAGTTATTGAATGAGTGACAGTGCCTGCCATCTCCAAAGAACTGGTTGAACCCATTTTTGTAAAAGTTTTGAGATTTAACACCACACTTTTTAAACATACTTCAGAAAGGGGGTTATTCTTTACGTGTGTCAGCTTAGAGAACAGCCACCACAACATGGAGTAAATCCCCTGAGTATTTCTCCAAACTGGTGTATCTAGCTAACTTTACCTTCCTGGAAATTTTCCATTTCCATTTTTGGGTAAGATTTGGTTTAGTCCCCAACTACTAATTTAAGTAAAGATGAACTGGAATTCTGAATCAAGGATCTTTCAGTGAACTCCTGCCCCCCAAACCATACTGTCATTTGTTAGCAGCCCAGACTCAGGACTCGGGCTCACTGACAGCTCACTGACAAGGTACTCCCTGTATAACAGGATAACAGTAGTTCGTAATTACTGTTCTGGCTTGTGGGGAGTAGATTTGACGCAGGCAGAGAGGGCTCAGCTGGTCTTGCAGAGAATACTTTTTGTCATGCCACCTGTTTGGCCTCTGAGAACAGGGTCCACATAGAACTGAACAGATTTGTGGCAATACTGAGGCAACATGTGTTTTTCAGCAAACAAGGGCCAAATTTGTTGCTGTACTAATCCTCAATAATTTCCAAAGCACTAGGGGGAAAGCCAAGGCTCCATTCCTGAGGAGAGAACTGTATATAGAAGAGGAAAAAAATGCACCCTAACCAGATTGTGGGGTATAACATTCCACCCACATTAGAGACTGTGTTGATGTCTGTGCAATTAACTAACTTCTGTTTTTTCGGCATTTATTGGTTTGTGAATGAATATCATGCCAGCGACTACATGTTTGGTGTCTTAGTCACCATGTTCTTAAAGCAGGAGTTAGCTCTGGTTCACCAATCAGCAATCTGGGGTTGTATTGTTCAAAGTCACTCAGTAAGTGGAAGAGCTGGGATTTGAACCTATGTCTGTTTGGCTTAAAAAGAAAACCATGTTCACCAATTAAAATAATGATTTCAAAAATTTCTCAAGCTCTTTAAATGTGCTTTGTCTTCATATTTAGTTATTTTAGCCAATGGCTTTTTGAGTTTGTTGGATTCAAGCAGCTGGTCTAAAATTATTGTTAAATATATGTATGCATAGACAAAAATGCAGATGTTTTGGCATATGTTAAATTATTTCCTGCATATCAGGTATATTTATTTAACTTCATTCTACCTATTTATATGGATGTAACTTACATAAAAGCAGGGTAGGGGCAGTCCATATGTCCTAGATTCACTGCTGAGCCCATTCAAAGACATACATACAGTCCAGCAATCAGAAGTAAAATAATTCTAATTTTCACTTTCCTGATTCAACTATTTTGTAGAATAATTTAAGACTTTTATCCATTATTTAGATTCCCTAGGAAAAGAGAGCATAGGAGCTGACACTAAAGGCTAGAGTACCTTCGACTTAGAAGCTTGAAGGGTAGAGGTGAAGGCAGGGCTGGAGGGAGATTGTGAAAAGTCAGACATCAGCCATTTATAACAGTTAAAATGCGTAATTTCAGTCCTTGTTATAGACACCATTTTATTTGCACATATTTATATTATTATAATACTTAGCTTTCTTGCTCTGCTTCTGTGGCTCAGTGGTTGAGCATTGATCCATGAAGCAAGAGGTCACTGGTTCGATTCCTGGTCAGAACACATGCCTGGGTTGCTGGCTAGATCCCCAGTGGGGGGCCATGCAGGAGGCGATGATTCATGTTTCTCTCTCATGGATGTTTCTATCTCTCTACCCCTCTCCCTTCCTCTCTAAAATCATATTTAAAAAAAACACACAACTAGACTTAAAAAGATACTTGGATATAATGAAAGTGGTGCACAGCACTTACGTTATCCCGGTGGGAGCGGCTGGAATCCGGACCTTGGCCAGGGTTTGGAGGCCACGCAATTCCGCGCAAAGAGGCCCACTTGACTCTGAGTCATGGCTCACAACAAGATCCCCCCGCGATGGCTCAACTGTGGCAGGAAGATTCTTACCTCTGAAGACAATGTTAGGACCAAGATATGATAGTCTACTTGCTGAAGAAAATCGGTTCTACCCCAGTATGCTCTCAAATTATCTAAAGAGTTTGAAGTTTCCTAGGGCTGCTGTAACAATTTACCACAAACTGGGTGGCTTAAAACAACAGAACTTTAGATTAAAGACAAACAGAGAATCTTAAAAGCAGCCAGAGAAAAGCAGTTAGTTACCTACCAGGAAGCTCCCATAAGACTGTCAGCTGATTTCTCAGCAGAAACTTTGCAGACCAGAAGGGTGTGGCATGAAATATTCAAAGTGATGAAAATCAAAAACCTACAACCAAGATTACTCTACCCAGCAAAGTTATAGAAGGACAGATAAGGAGGTTCCCAGACAAGGAAAATCTAAAGAAGTTCATTACCACCAAACCAGTATTATAAGAAGTGCTAAAAGGGTCTTCTTTTAGAAGAAGAATAAAAAATAAAAAATATGAATAATAAAATGCCAATAAATACATATTTATCAACAATTTCTTCAAAGGCAAGTGGATTAAATACTCCAATCAAAAGACATGGTGACTGAATGGATAACAAATTAAGACCCTTATATATGTCTACAAGAGACTCAATTCAGATCAAAAGACACACAAATTGAAAGTAAAGGGATGAAAAAAGGTATTTCATGAAAATTAAAACAAAACAAAATAAAAAGATGGGGTAGTAATACTTATACCAGACCAAACAGACTTTGAAACAAAGGATATAACAAGAGATAAAGAAGGACCCAGCAACTCCAATTCTGGTTATTTACCCAAAGAAACTCAAAATGCTAAATTGAAAAGACATACACATCCATATATTTATTGCAACATTACTTACTATAACCAAGATATGGAAGTAATGTAAGTGGCCAACAATAAATGAATGGATAAAGAAGTGGTGCACATATACAATGAAATATGATTCAGCCATAAAAAAGTGAAATCTTGCCAATCTGCAAAAACATGGATAGACCTAGAGCAGCAGTTCTCAACTTGTGAGTTGTGACCCCTTTGGGG